AAACTACAAAGAAGCAGGTTAACAGGGAACTATCCAAACGGCTCAGATGTGACCACTGAGAATGATCTTTATCTAGCCTGGTCTTCTTTCCCCACAATAACCGTTTTCATCTAATTCAGCAATTATGCCATCAGCTCAAGTGCCCGATGCGAATATTGGTGACCTTCACCATTCATAGGGCATAAACCCTGAAGGAGATCACTAATCATCTGCAAAGGCTAGGGTCTTACATTATAAGCATGGTTCTCGCTCAGCTGGGACCTTCTTCCACTTGCAGAAAAGGAAGTGAAATCATCTAGTTAGCTAGGCCATGGAATTTTCTATATGATGGCTAGGATGAGCTTGGCCAAAAGCAGCTACTGCAAGGGTTATTGCATGAGCAAGCAAGGGTGGGAGTGGGGATCCAGAAGGGGCAGGTGGGAGAAGGCTGTATAGCATGTTTGGCTAAAGACCAGCCTAGGGTCAGTACTAGCAAACTGAGTGAAGTACTCATGTAGAAAATGAACTCATAACCCAGAGAAGAACGGTCATTTTTATCTTCTTTCTCATTACCCATGGTTATAGCTTCGGATGGGTTATGGGAAAAAAGCAGAGACCACAGAGGTACTGATTACTCATATATCAAAGAGAAAGAATGCCAGAAACAAAACAAGTTGCTCTGCAAATGCTTTTTGCAAGTTGGTTGTTTGGAGTAGAGATGATGTTGCTGGCATCTATTGTTTTTTTTTTCCAAATTGAGATTGTCTTGGTTCTTGGTATGATTAGTGATTTTCAATTGAAAACTGAACATTCTGGGTAGTATGATGTTACGGAATTCTAGATCTTATTTAAACCTTTTAAAACTAGTTAAAAAGTTTATCCTGCCCCTTTCCCTGCTGGAATGATATCCCTGCTGATATCATTCCAGCAGGGAAAGGGGCAGGATAGTGCTAACATTTCATCTGATCAATAACTTAGAACCAGAGAAGGTAAAGGACTAAACTTAGGTCACAGAGTGAGTCGGTGGGAGAAGCAAAACAAAAACTGAAGGTTTCCTATATCCATTCAGTGTCACTGTCACTCACCAGGCCATCTCCTTCTCATCTGCAGTAAGAGGGGAGGGCAGCAGATTTGATCAGATGGTCTTTAAGGGACATGTCCAACTTCAACCTATGGCCATTTCTATGTTGTCTTTAGCCCTGTTTCTGCTCTCCTACCTCAATGTCTTCCCCCACTACCCTAAAGCTGAAGTAAAGTATAGGCGTTGGGAAAGCAAAAAATAATCCACAAATAGAGAAAATAGTTGAATCTTGTATATATGATGACCAGTTCTTACTACATATTTGAGCCACCACCTCCCTTATGAGCTGTAGTTGTACAATTGTGCAAGCAGAGATTTGACCAATTTTTGGTTTGGTTTTATTTACATCATCTTAATGCATTCTTGATACAGATGAGTATGGCAAATTTTATTCAAGTGTCCTGCTTATCGTTGTTGTGGTTGTTAAGTGATGTTGACTTGATTCCAACTCATAGTGAACCTATATAGATAGGGTTTCTGAGGGGCAGCTTGTGGGTTTGAATCACTTACCTTATGGTTTACAGTCCAGTGCTTAGCGTACACCAGGAGGCAAAAAGAAAGAAGCAGCAGCTTATGGTAAAAGCAGCTTCACACAGTAGAAGATTACCTGGGATTAAACACTACTTACTAACTGTGCATCTTTGGAAAAATGATGAGTACTATGATGTACAACAGCTTTGCCACTGTACTTCTGAGGAACCACAGGTAAAAGCGTAGAACAGTATTTGGTTTGTACTGAGTTTTGAGCACCATGAAATACTAACTTCTGCATCAAGTGTTACTGAGACCATTTACTAGAGGCCTGTTAGAAATTAAATGAATGTTTTATTGTATTTAATCATCAGAACACCCCTCTGATGTGTTGATTATTCTGTAGGGTAAGAAACTATAATTATCTTATTAGGAAAATCATTTATAAATATAGCATAAAGTAGTATCATGTAAAAAGATAGATTACATTTTTAAGTGATATCTGAAGCCAAAAGAGTAAAGTAGAAAATATTTCTGGCACATTCTGGAAGTATAATGAGCAAAGCGCCCATAATAATAGTAACAATGTTACCATGGTGGTTATTTATTATTTTTGTAATTTAACCACCCCCACCCTAAAAAAAACACCAACAACCACACATCTAAAGGTGGAAAATAAAATCAACTGTTCACTGTATGGGAATATTGGCTCTGGTTTTCTTGGTCTGTCTCACTGAAGTAACAAGACACACGCTAGACACATTCCTGTAAAGGCTTTGGTGAAGAAACCAACTATGGACAAGAGAATTATACCTCACCACTCACCATTCTCCTAGCGTGGAGAACCAGAAGCATAACATAACATAAAATTAAAGTCTCATGGAGGCTTTCTACCTATTTGTCATATAAAATGATACTGACTATATTTTTATATTATTCATCCTTGGTTTTAAATGTTTTAGGAAAAAATAAAAACCATTTACTAGAGGCCTGTTAGAAATTAATACATTCTGTAATGTTATTCTTAAAAAACTTTCTTGAAAACAACAAAACAGAGTTTGTAGGCTTCCGGTCGCCTTGCTCTGGAATTCTGATGCTGTCTCCCAACAACTGTTTCTTAAGCCAGAATACCTAGAGATACAGCACTGAGGCTGCAATGGCCTGAGTCTTAGAAACATTACATGATGGATCATCCCTTGCCCCAGGAAATTTACCAGCTATACTTCTCCCAGATAGTGACAGCAGCTGAAAAATGATCAGATTTCCATTCCTGATCGTCAACCTAAGAAGAAAATTTCAGGAAGGCGAAAGATGAAGCTCTACTTCCAATAGCTCTACATATAAACATTTGCCAAAGACAAGAAAGAATACCATGAAAACACTACTGAGCCTAAATAACAGTGTTTGATTTAAGAGAGAAAATTCTCTTTCAGAAGAAACTCACAGGTATCCAAAAATGACTGAGATTGAGCAGGCTGAATTCCAGCTTTCTGAATTAGAACTGCTGGCCAGTATGTTCCTCAGTGAGAACGAGCTCCTAGTGAATGACCAACTGGCTTTAGTTGAATTGAACGACTATATTGAAAAGAAGACAATGGAGGGGCGATCTTCAAAAATGTACTTTACTGTCAATATCAACATAGATGTATCTGAGAAAGCAATGATGATGGTTTCACTGACCTGTACTCTTCCTTTCAAATACCCTGAAATTCTGCCTGAAATTACTGTCAGATCAATATTATTAAGTAGATCCCAGCAGACCCAGTTGAACACAGATCTGAGCAATACCTGTTGTGAACTGTTGTGAAGATGTCTGTATATTGAATGCCACAGAATGGGTTAGAGAACATGCCTCTGGCTATGTCAGCAGAGACACCACATCTTCCACCACCACAAGAAGTACAACCCAAATGACTCAATCTCACTTTCACAAGACTTGGGATCTACAGCCATCACATCTACAACAAATGCCAAACAAAGAATGCTCTTGAATGGTCAAAGGAACTTTCCCTGTCGGGGTTTAGCATGCCAGAGAAACCTGGTATTGTTTGTGTGGAAGGTCCACAAAGTGCCTGTGAAGAATCCTGGTCAAGATTCAGAAAATTAAACTGGAAGAGAATTCTAATTCGCCATTGACAAGACATTCCTTTTGATGGTACAAATGATGAACTAGAAAGACAAAGAAAATTTCCAATTTTTGAAGAAAAAGTGTTCTCTGCCAAAGGAAACCATATGAACTTTGGTCAGCGGTATCAGTTTTTAAATGCCAAAGGATGTGGGGATGTTTTCCTGATGTTCTTTGGTATGGAAGGACAATGACTTAGTAGGAGGTGTAGTTGAGAACATTTTTGTCATTGTTGGCTTCTTGCTATTTCCCACTCATCCTTGAAAGATTAAGTCATTTTATTTCAGTTTATTCTTAGAAAGTTGGGGAAAATGAAAACAAAAAAAGGAAAAGAAGATCTAAAATGCATCTGTTATGGAATGATAATGAAACAGAACTGTTTCAAATTATAATATTAAAAGTGCTGATAGAAATCACCTGATATATAAAGTATCCATTATAAAAGAGATTACTTATGCCTGATAAAGATAATGTTGGTGATCTAACTTGTTCCCATTCGCGTCTTACTTGTGTCCACTCACCCAAGAAAACCAAACCCACCACCATTGAATTGAGTCAATTCCCACTTGCAGTAACTCTGTATAGGATTTCCGAGGTTGTAAATAAGCATTGGACTGCTAACTGCAAGGTTGGTGGTTTAAGCCTACCAACTACTCCTTAAAACCCCATACAGGGTGACTATTAGTGGGAAATGACTCCGTGGCACGCAACAACAACAACAAATCTTTACAGAAGCAGAAAGCTTCATCTTTTTCTGGCAGAACAGCTAGTGAGTTTGAACTGCTTACCTTTCGGTTAGTTGTTAAGTGCTGTCAAGTCGATTCAGACTCATAGTGACCCTTGTAGGGGTTCCAAGGCTTTAGATTTTTGCGGAAGCACAAAGCCTTATTTTTCTCACATGGAACCACCATGCGCCCTTTGGTTAATGGTCCAATTCTTACCCTACAGTGCCACCAGGGCTCCTTGTCTCCATTAAGATACTAGAAAAGCTAAAGGCTCACTGTGCAGCCTGTGTTATGGTTTAGGGTAGTCTCAGGACACAGCTTTGTCTCAGGGACTTCTAGGAAAGCTTTTGATTTCCTGGTTAAAGTACACCTCTTGTTCCTCTTTCTGCTACAACACCAAAGTGATGACTGGAGTGACAGTCATTCTTCTACCATGAGGAAAGAAAGAACTAAAAGAGCCACAGAGATGCCAGTTCCCACAATGCCAGCCTTTGCCTTTCTCTAGATGTCTCTTTATGAAATAAAACAAGTTGTACTTAAATGACAAAAAAAGAAAAAGAAAAAACAACAAAACAAAAAATAACCTGATACAATACAATCCATGTTTAAATAAACTTACCGAGGCAGAATGGATCCAGGGGACTCATGCACATACACTCATCTGGTATGCTTCTTGCTTGACCAAAACTTCTGATTATGAAAGACTTGATGCTCTCAGGCAATGGTTTCAATAATATGTAGCTAATAGCATAGAGAGCATATCGAAACCAGCACAGTAATGGGGTGGCAATCTTGCCATTGGGTGACACTGACATGCGCTCAATTGTTGGAAAGAGCATCAAGGAGCGGATTACCTACGATAAAGAAACAGACTTTGATGAAAGGTTCTCTTAGCCTATCACTTCGTGGTTTCTTCCATGCAATACTTAAAAATACTTGTGCTACAAGACTATAGACAGACAGAGCACCCTGACCTATTGTACTCTCAGCCCATAGCCAATCTAGGTTAAGACACAAGGATAACTTTGATATGTTACTGGGCCTAATTTTCAAGGTGAGGAGGAATCAGATTCTAGATAATTCCTAGCAACCTGTAATAACAATTCACAATTCCTTTGATGAACTGCTGAAAGTAGGAAAGTGGCTATGCCAACTTGACTAATTATACCACAAGATATTAGATTTATAAGTAATCTATTGATGTCAAATCAGTTCTGACTCATGGATACCCCATGTGTGTCAGAGTAGAACTCTGCTACATAGGGTTTTTCAATGGTTAGTTTTTTGGAAGCAGGTCCCCAGACGTTTCTTTTGAAATACCTCTTGGTGGATTTGAACCTTTAAGCTTTCAGTTAGCAGCCAAATGTATTAACTATATGCACCACATAAGAGACTCCATTTCTATTCACCATTTCCTTTATTGATTACATTTGAAATATTTCACTTTAAAAAAACTCTTATATTCTTTAATTTTACCAGAAAACGATAATCTTTAACAAGACCAAATAGATTTCTAAAAGCAAGGATTTGACATTAATAAAAACGCAGCCCAGGGACAAGGGAAGCTGAAAATCTGTACCTATCTGGGTACATGTTTAAAGACAAAAACATTATCTCAACTCAATTAATCAGAATATTATCAAATACACTTTAAAATAATTCAGGGAAAAGAATCACCAAATCATCTGAAATTTACCATTCTTTATCATATTAATTTTTCTAAATTAGTTTCTGTGGAGATTAGAAAAGGCAAAAGTTAGGCACAATCTCTATTAATAACAGACTAACATGAATGGAATATATTCAATGTCAGTAGATTGTACAATGGGATATGAAAGTGAACACAATGACTTAATTCAATAGCCTCTTTAAAATTAAGTATTACATACGGAAAGCATATAAAAATAAATGTATAATTTAATCATTATAAAGTGAACAGCTATGTGGTTCAAGAAACAAAACAGTACCAGAAACCCTGCATGCACATTTTCCCAATCACAACTTATGTTCATATCTTAGACAATCTCTAGACTGACTTATTTGTTTTGCTTCAACAATTAACATCCCTTAATATTTACTTTTGGAGGAGTGCTGATGGTGCTTAAAACCCACTCTGTGGGACACAGATGAAGCTTTATGCTTCTGTAAAGATTTATAGCCTTGGAAACATAATACAGGGTCGCTATGACTCAGAACTGACTCGAAGGCACCTAACAACACAACAATATTTATTTTTGCCTGCTAAATGAACAAGCTATAAAAGGAATCAAGCTGTATTCTTTTGTGTTTTACTTTTTTCACTCAACATTATGTTTATGTGACTTATCTATATTAATATATATAGAAATGCCTTATAACACTACCTTGAATATACCCACCTGAATTTAGAGATCATCTGAAGAACAGATTTGATACGTTAAAAACTAAAGACCAAAGAACAGAAGA